AGGAAACGTGTGTTTAATTGAATTATTATTGAGACTTTACCCATGTTAGTATTCTTTATTTCTTTTCTTCTCTCATAAATGAAACACATTTTGAGATGCTTTATGTTTCCCTTTTTTCTCCTGTATAACTCCCTAATTTGCCAGATTTGCAACAGCTTGCTTAGTCCCTAGAATGCAACTTTAAGATTCTTCTGACATTGAAGTCCTGCTGATACATGAAATGCTAGGGGTTTTGTTCTGCCTTTTCTGCAGAAACCAATTTCTTCACATGAGTCAAAGTGACAGTTCGTTTGTTGCACCTGCCTCTTACAGTGTAATTCAGAGCTTGGTAAGCAGAAAAAAAACCCAGTACATTTTGCCTTTTTGAATCAACACTTAAGGACTTAATTTCATGTCCTCAAAAAGAAAAAAAAAAAAGTTTGTTCACAATAATTTGTAATAAAATGCCGTTTACTATTAGGAACCAGCAAGCATGGTCTGTAATGAATGTATCTGACTGTGAAGGGTAGCTTGGGTTTTGATCCTGTTTGTAAGTAGTAGCACCTTCTTCAGTTTTCATGGTTCACAATATTTGCAATGTCCATAAATGCTGCATGTCATTGCAGTCATATGATATGAAGCAAGACCATATTTGGGGAGAAATGATACTCTAGCTGGGCTCCCCTCTCAACCGGTGCACTGAAGTGCTGCTGCAACGCAGACAGTAGAAGTGACAGAACACCAGGTCAGTCACTGCAGTGAAGTAGGTTTGTCTAAACCTGCCCAGAGGGTTTTAGTTTTCTTTAGCATCACCTGACCTACTCAGCGTAAGTTCAGCTCGGAGCAGGGAGTTTAAATAATATGAAGCCTCAGCCACCTAGTCTGCACAAGGCAGTTTTCCCTTCTCCTGAATCATCTCTCAGTATGAAAGTAGCATATATTTGAAACTGCGAGATAGTCTGTTTTCATCAATCTAAACACAGTGTTCCATGAGAAATTGTTCATTTCAAACTGTATATTGCAGTAATAAGCGCTAACCAAGCATTTTTTCTGACAGGTAATTTTCTAGATCTGTGGCAAGCTAGAGAACGCAATTCCTCAGAGAAACATTAACTTTCAAGATTGATGAGAATAAGAGGAAAGTATGAAGCAGAGTAGGCTAAACTCCATTAAAATCATGGCAGAAGCACAGGTTTCACAATATATTAATTATATGATGTAATCATTTTCTTAGGTGAATTTAGCAAGTAACATAACACAGGAGCTGAAGCGTGGTGTGGACAACCGACTGGAGAATGCGTCGAGTGCACTTATGCTAAAGTGTCACAGCAAGGGAACAGTCTAGGGTTAAACGGGCATGTTTTGAAACATAAACAGTCGAGCATGTTTCATATTATGATCACTCTTCAATTTAAATACTTCAGATATCTTTTTCTCTTATAAAATTGGAGGTCACTGTGTTACCACCAGTTGAACCTCAGCAACAAAAGAGCAGGTTCAGGTCTCCTTTCTTATAGGTAGCCTATTCCCAGCAGCGTGCAGCTGGCACAATCATTCCCTTTCATCCATTGACACGTTTTAAGCATTACAGACCTGATCTGTTTACAGGATTATTTTTTTTTTCTTTGAATTCAGTGGGCGTTAGAAAAGACCCCATGCAAATCATATCAAGTGTATTTTCATGGAAGCGGTGAATGAATACATGATCTGATTTTGGAAAAATCACGTTACTGGTATGAAATGCATTTTCTGGCTACCTCAATGAAATCTATAGGCATAACTGATCATTACATGATTATTCTTTGCAAGACTAAGAGGTGTCTTCTTGGATATTTACAGGGGTTTCATTTTATAATGTATATTATAATGAAAAATGTGAAATAAATATATGAAATATATGAAAAAATAATCTCTTAAAAACATGTTCATACTAATATACTATTGGTTTTGTTTTGAAATCCCCTTGATCCTTATTTCTGTAAAATTTCCCAAAATTTTATGCCTTCCAGAGGCAAAACTGTATTTTTATTCCACAGAGCCAATTTCTATCCGCTTATGGTCTATTTTAACCCATCTCTTCTGCATATTTTTCCTTTTCTCTCCTCCCTCTTTTTTCCTTTTCTTTAATCCACATGTAAGAGGTATCATGCAAAAATAGTGCAGTGAGAACTTACGCTAGATTTCTGACAAAATCATTCCTTTGGCAACTGCCTAAATCTCGGTGCTCCTCAGGGAAAATAGCTGCTCCTTAGAAACATATATCATGTATTTTCTGTCACGCACAGATTTTAAGTCTTATGATTTTTTTTGTTGCAATGTGCTGGAAACAGTCAGTAAACTGAACTCTAACGTAACTAGCCCAAGTCTCTCGGGCCAGTGATGCTGCTGTGATACTTGCCTTATTGTGCTGGTACATATGTCGCTTTGATAATGTTTAGGCAGGTGGATAGGGATTAAAAGGCTGTTGCACATTCTTAGCAGCCCAAATAGGGGCTACCTGCTGGCTTATATCCGCTCTAAATTGGCTTTGCCTGCCACCTCAGAGACCATTGGTTGGTTCAAAGCGTCTATAAAATGGGCTTTATTAACGTGTAGTGTCATAATCTGGTCATTTCATCACTTATTTCAATCAGGTGACCTGAGGTATCGGTGTTTTCAAAGGGTTTTTTCCTTCATTAACCTTCCAGTAACAGCTGCACTAAACCCTCAAGTGCAGCCATGAGTATTAATTTCTTATATTCTTTTATACATAGCATAAAAGTTTCAGTTTCTGTTAGACTTGAAAACATGGCTTACTGATGGTCGTAAAATCCAAATTCTGCTTTTACTTGCACCGATGAGGTCATCAGATTTTGGGTGGCAGGGTGGTGTGCAGGGTTGACCCCAATCTGCTCGTGCCGGTGGTGCAGTCCCTTCCTCAGAGGTGTGGGGAGAGCGGTTTGCTCTGAGGACTGAGGTGTGGGGCTCGGACGGGCATTGCTGCGCTTGGACGGGGTTCACTCCTCCTGATCCCAGACCAGCGGCTGCACGGTGGGTGCGTGCCTGTCCTCGCCTGACTTGGCAGGGGATGGGTAAGATCACCTGCCATCGGCTGAGAGAAAGCCCTTACGGCCAGGTCACCGGTGCCACCGCAGGACCTCTTTTCCCACAGCTGACACGGCTGTGCTGCACCTGGCAGGCAGGTCACAGCAGGGAGAAACTCACCCGTAAGAGGTTTGGGAGAGCAGAGGGAAGAGCATAGCGGGAGCTGCGGCACCAATCTCCCACGGCGGCTTTGCACTGCTGGTGTCCCATCTATGGGGCCAGCCTGTAGGTCCTATGTATTTAGGAAAGGGGCACGTTAGGGTCCTGTCATGTCCAAATCAGGTTTTTTTCCCATGCCTTCCCACACTCTTGGCTATGTGGAACACAGTAATTTCTCCGTACCACCACAGCATTTTAGTTTTCTTCTCCTTTTTCTAGAACTGCCCGCCAGCATATACTGCTCTAATCTCTTCAAAGCACTTTGCAAAGACAGTGGAGGCACTACTATCAGTCAGCAGGAGGTGGGCTGTTGTTAGCGGCCAGGAAAATCGGGCCACTTGGCTGTTTAAATGGGATCTGCAGGAGCTGCCGGACCCGTGCTGCAGACTTTAGGTCGGACAAAGAGAGAGCAGCACTCCAGAGACCCACAAGAGCAAGATGGCTGTCCTACCACCCGTGCAAGGGACTTCAGTGAAGTGAGTGTATGGGTCATTGTCCTCACCGTTAGCGGCAAGGTGAGAGGCTTCCATCTTCCACCACATCGCATCTATTTCTCCCTTCTTCTCTCTGCAAAGGATCGTTCTCCACTTTTATTCTTGTCACCTTGCCTTTATTGCCCTCTCTCGCGGTGAGGCTATCATAACAAGCACCGAGAAACCTCGACAGGAGGAATTAATCTACCTCAGGAGGGTCAAAACCAGCCTGTAGACAGTGAAAGTTCCCAGTGAGGCACCTTGGTTCCTTCAGACGGTGCCACCACTGGGGCTGATTTGCTGCCTGGGGTGGGAAGGGACGAGCCAGTCAGGGCACTGAGCGGGGCACAGGTATGTCGGTGCAGTAAGAGTGTGTGGGTTGACAGGAAAGCTTTGCTGCTCCACATGAATTAATTTAGACTAATTTTTTTTTAATTATGACTACAACCTGATTGGTAAGAGAGGCCATATCTGAAATACAATTATCAATACCTCAGTAAAGACTAAAAATACTGCAGACTGACTCACTTAAATCACATGTAACATGTCTCCTCAACAAGATGAAATCTCATTTTTTGACCGTGTGGGAAAATCCAACCGTACTTGGAGCATACAAGATTGGAGGATGTTTAGCAGTCTAAAAATACAATTCAAAGGACTTAAGTTTTTTTTTTTTTTCAACTTGTACTAGATATTGTCTTCCCTTCTTTTAAAATTAGCAACTATTCTATTGGTAAAGTAACTTCATAGCTGATTTCTTCCACTATGTTAAAGTCACATTCTCAGATGGCGACACCTCCCCATTGTTTTTTTACCGTGCTTTTTTTTTTTTTAATCTGTGTGAGATTTTTCTTGACTTTCATTGAGCTAAAACTCTACTGGTCTTCAGTGAAGACAAAATGACAAAAGTCATTAGCAACATATCAATATGCACTATGTTTGTGGGTGTGCCTGTGATCCCATAGGTTATGAGGTATCACCCTATTTTAAAGCTGTCTTTTTGTTGGATACACGCTCTTCATTAAAGATTTCTACACGTAGCAGTAATAAGGATATGAGGAAATCTGCTGTCTTGGGCTGGCCGCAGGTTCACAGGCTGTATTAATAGATAGGATTAGTGAAGAAGAACAGGTCAGAAGGCTGCAAAGCTCCTGTCCCTTGAGATTTCCTTCTTTAGATCATTAGTCTCGTTGAAGAGCTCCCTCAAATACAGGGAGCAGAAACTGAGGAAAAAGCTGGAACCATTTTATTTCGTTGGGACGTACTGGGGAAAGAGCAATTTCTGGGTCATAAGCTCCGCTGAAAATGTCTGTCCAGTTTTCTCCACAGGCACCCTGGAGGAACAACAACATCAGTTTTCTGAGCAGAGAGGCAGCTGTAACAGAGCAAGGAGAGACTATCATAGGTTTCTACCTACTGGCTTTAGGTATGTACTCAGCTTGGATGCGAACAGAAGCTCCTAAGTAGAGTTCGGTATAAAGTTCAAAGTAATTCATTTGGGTTTCATCCCTAGTGGAACAGGATGTTAGAAAATGCAACTTTTTTGTTCAGCTATTACAAGATCAAAGAGGTACAGCTTTCTTTTGTTAAAGAGAGATTATTAATCAATGCATAAATCGTGGGGGGGGG